GTAAGTATTATTTATATTTATATGTTGTAACATAATTTTTTTCTTTTTCCTTTTTTCTCCTCTTCTTCCTTTCCACCCCTCCCCCTCTTTCTTTTTATTTCATTTATCTATTTATTTCTTCATTTAATTTCCATTGGAACATCAAATTAATACAAGGTAAATGTAAATGTAATTAATTAGTTTAAATATATATATATATATATATTTTCTTTTTTTGTTGATACATAAATTTTTTAATTTAAACTTTTTTTTTCGGAAGATATTTTTTTTTTATATTTGACTTCATTTATATTTATATATATATATATATATATATATATATATATACATGTATTTTTCTTTTTTTTTCTTTTTTTTCTCATTTATAAAATATATTTACGTAGATGTATTTTCTTCTTCTTTTATTTTTCATCCCTTTTTCTTTTTTTTTTTTCAGATATTTTTTTATTCTTTTATATTATATCATTCATATATATATATATATATATATATATATATATATATATATATTTTTTCTTTTTTCCTTTTCTTCTTCAAATGTTATTTTTTTTTTTCGTAACAATTTCTTTTTATTTAATTCATTATTAAATTTTAATCGATTTATATTTATCGAATATTTATATGCATACATTTTATATATATAACTTTTATATAATTTTTCTTGACATTTTATATGTATATATATATATATATATATATATATATATATATATATGTTTATATATATTTTATTTCATTCGATTTTATACTTATATATTTATACTATACTATACCTACTATATATTTCCTTTTATATTTATACTATACTACTACTTTGTAACATTTTTTTCTTTTTTTTTTACTGTATACTATTTGTTTGATTTTATATCATATAGATATTTATGATTACCTTATATATTTATCATTATTACTGTAAATAGTATATATATATTTTTGTCTTTAATTTTCTTTACATGTTTTTTATATATTTTATGTATTTTTTTTATTATCTTATTTTATAACATCAACATATATATATATATTATATATATATATTATATATATATATTTATTTATTTATTTATTTATTTATTTATTTAAGTATTCCTTTTATTTTACATGTACGTATTTCATTTTTCCTTTCATTTTTTTCTCTTTCATTGATCATCTTTTCATAGTTACTCATACCTTTTCTTTCACTGTACGTACATACGTAAAGGATGCAGTTACCTTTCCGCGAGTCCTCACGGGTCATTATTTCCTGTTCGTGACCTTTTATTGCGAGTTAGTCCAGGTCAGGTGCTCCAGACGAGAGGCTTTCACCGGAAGTTCATTCTTTCTTCTTTTTTCTTTTCTTTTCTTTTCTTTTTTTTCTTTTTATTTCTTTTTTTTTTTTTTCTTTTTGCTACCTTTCCACTAGGAGTACTTCGTGATACTCTTTTCCCTCCTTCATTCTTTCTAGCTTGTTTCACTCTGATCCTTCCTATTCTCTATCCTTTTTCTCTTTCTCTTTATCTTTCGTGTCTAGATATATATATATATATATATATATATATATATACATATATATATATATACATATATATATACATATATGTATGTATATACTTGTATACGTGTATATTATGTGTGCGCGTATGTATGCGTGTGTATGTACGTGTAAGAGAGAGAGAGAGAGAGGAGATACACATATTCCTTGGTGATGGTTATATTCTTTCTCAAATGGATGGTAAAAAATGTAAAACGAAAAAGGGCTCGACGATGCACTATGTAGGACGTGGATTCTTTGAGAGAACATATTCCAATTTATTTTATTTTTGACTTACATTTTATACTTACACGTTATAACTCTCCTATACAATAAATCGTAACGTAATAATGATCACTATAATGGCATTAATGTATTATAATTGTATTTATCTTAATTGATTTTTGTCGATTTAAAACATTTTGAATTGTCTTTCTTTTTCTCTTTCTTTTTTTCTTTTCTCTCTCTCTCTCTCTCTCTCTCTCTCTCTCTCTCTCTCTCTCTCTCTGTTTTTAGAATTTATTTCGAATATAATTGTCAAATTTATATATCAAAGTTTTATTACAATTTTTGACATTATCAGTAAGAGATTATTATAATTGAATAAATTGCATAAATAAAACTTGACCAATCTTATCCCTAATAATAGAACATCATTATTCTTCTAATTAATTTCGAACGAAATTTAAGAGAACTATTATTACTTATCGCTATAATAATAATTGCTATATTTATTATATATTTTATTTTAAGGCATTTAAATTTTTATGAAATTTTATATATGAAAATAGATAACATCAATTTAAACGCTTTACTAGTCGAATTTAATTTTTATAAATACGCTTTATATCTGTGTTATATCTAGATACGTATAAATATATTTGTAATATAATTTATGATACGATAATGATCGATATATTTAAATTCTTATAAAAAAAATTCTTCAAAATCTGTAATAATAATAATAATAATAATAATACTAATAATAATAATAATAATAATAATAATAATAATAATAATAATAATAATAATAATAATAATAATAATAATAATCATAATAATAATAATAATAATAATAAATAATAAAAAGATACTAAATCCAAAAATTACAAATAAAAATTAATGATTCGATGTAAATCAATACCTAAAAGGCATCGAAGCGTGAATAAAAAATTTATCGTAGAAACTCGTTAATCACGTTTAATATATTTTTTTTTTCCTTTTTTTTCTTTTTTTTCTGTTTTTTTTTTTTTTTTCTTTTTATTTTTCGAACGATGATAACGAGGGATATAAAAGATCGTTCACGTTGTTCCCATCTCCCCCATCCTCCACCCTCGTTTATCCATCTTTAATCTTAACGTTTTAATCACGTTTAAAATCGGGGGATTATCACCTCTCTCTCTTTTTTTTTTTTCTTTTTTTCTTTTTTTTTTTGTATAAATCTATAATAAAATTTAGCATAAGGACAAAAAATAAAGCTCAATATAATCGTCGTATGTATGTATGTATGTATATACATACATACATACATACATACATACATACATACATACATACATACATACATACATACATACATACATACATAAATACATACATACATTCATACATACATAAATACATACATACACGGGGCTGACCTGTTTTCAGACGCGATTTAAGATTTCTTTTCCTCGCGACGATCGACGTACTAACGAGCGAGCATTGCATGCAATAGCCAACGTCTGGCAGCTACCCTTCATTTATCAATCCGACCTTTGACCATCCATTTGTCATTGTCAGGATCGGGATAACTTAAAAACTATCCTCGCTTTTCTCTCCTCCTTTTTCTTTATTTTTTTTTTCCCCTTTTTTCTTTTTTTTTTTTTTTTGATCTTTTTTCTTTGCTTGCTTGTTTGCTTGTTCGTTTGTTTGTTTGTTTCTTTTTTTCCTCTCTCTCTCTCTCTCTCTCTCTCTCTCTCTCTCTCTCTCTCTCTCTCTCTCTTTCTTTTTCCTTTTTTTTTTTTTGTGTTTTTTTTCTTTTAAGGATACAACCTATCCCCCATCGTGTCTAATGTAATTTTTATCCGACGTCATTCATCGAACGAATCTATATTTACCAGTTTAACATTAACATTACGAACATTTTAATCTCTTTAAAATTTTCATCTCGTAATTAAATTGAGCTTTCGATTTTACGAAGGAATAAAAAATTTTTTCTCGATAATATTAAGTTCGTATTTCTTCGTCAAGTATTTCTATTTGGAAATCCTTTCTTTTGAAATTCTCTGAATTTGTTGTTGATTTTTTCTTTTCTTTCGTTTCCCTTTTTTTCCCTCTTTTTTTCGTGTAAGTTACAATATTTTGTATATTCGTAATATTACGTCAGTTAGTTTGTACTTTGTTTATATTAATGATATATATATATATATATATATATATATATATATATATTTTTCTTTTATACTATACTACGTTGAATTTTATATACTACGTTTGTAAAAATTATATCTATGCTATAATTTTTATATACTATAAAAATTATATCTATACTATATATTAATATTGATATATATATATATATATATAGTGTAAATATTGAATTTATACTATGAGAAGTATATCTACATTATAGTATAAATATTATAATCTATAAAGCTATAGTATTATTCATACTTATTTATATTATATTATTTATACAATTTAGAAATGTTAGTCCCTTAATATAAATATCTGTATATAGACCTGTGTTTTTTTATTTTTTATTTTTTATTTTTATTTTTATTTAAAAAGAAAATTGTTTTTCTTTTTTTTTTTTTTTTTTTTTTTTTTTAAACAATAATTCAAAGGATACATACGTAAGTTGTAACCATTTTTTCAAATGTTAAAAAGAAATTATCGTATTTTTTGTTAATGATAAAAAGAGTAAACGTTAATCCTTACGATAAACTATCTTCAGTTTAACATCGTCAAAAATTATCATCATTTTTTTTTCTTAAAACAGTTATTTAATCGCTATATATGTACATATGTAGTAAGCAAATAAATAAAATGAAACAAACATCGTTAAAATTGATATTGTCGAGAAAATAGTGATATTGTCGAGAAAATAGTGATATTGTTAGAAAAGAAATAGTAAAAGAAAGAAAGAAAGAGAGAAGAAGAGAGAGAGAGTGAGAGAGAAAGAGAGAGAGAGAGAGAGAGAGAGAGAACGAAGTACATAAATACATATATATATACACATATATAAAATAAATACTTCATTCACACAATAACTTTGAAAAGACTTTTCAAAGTTACTCTGAAAAAGAAAAAAAAAAGAAAAACAGAACAGAACAAAAAAAAAAAAAGAAACAAAAGAAACAGAGAAATAAAACAAAAAAACAAAAACAAACAAATAAAACGCGAACGTTTCGTAAAAATTGTACTTTTTTTTTTTTTTTTTTTTTTTTTTTTTTATTTATGTTAAATTTTTCTTTTATTCTACGTCACGTTCACGCACGATATAAACGAA